TTTCCAGACATGCAGAACTTCCGTGAGGGCCATTTTTTGTGCTCCTAGAGCCTCCACATGCACTTACCTGCATCTAAAGTCCATTGGGGAAGCCAGATTCACTTAACAACATGAGACTCACTGAACAACTGCAGTGATTCACTTAACACCTGTGTAAAGAAATGACATAAACTTGGAGCACTCTTGCTTAACAATGGAAATTTGGGGTTCGATTGTGGTCCTACGTCAAGAACTACCTGTAGGAGTTTTTTTGGTGTGCGTGTGTGTGTGTCTTTTTTTAAGCTGAATGAGGGATTTGAAACTATATTTTTCTATTGCTCAATCCAGTGACCCCCCCCCTTCCTCTCCCCGCCTCACGCCTATTGATGGACGACTTTATTTGGGGTGGGTCATGTTGCTGGAGAAAGGTGTAAGCCGCGTTTTAATTCCTTTCCGGATCAATCCTTATTGTTTAAATATTGAGCGGGCGGTGTGAGCCGAGAGAATGTTAACTAGGCGCAGAGAACAAACGTTTTTTTATTAAAGGGTCAAGGGAAGAACAGAAATTGGGCTTGTTGTACAAGGCCTAATGAAATGTTTTTCCATCTAAACCAGGGGTGTCAAACTCGAGGCCAGTGGGCTCAGATCCATCCCATGGGGTGCTTAGATCTGGCCCACAGGGCCACCCTGGAAACAAGCAAAGGACTGGCCCGCGGTGCCTCTGCCAGTGAAAACGGACCTCGTGGCCCTCCCAGTTTTCAGCCACGATGACCTCCTGCAGCCCTCTGCCAGCGTAAACGGGGCCTCCATCTTTGCTGGCAGACAGCTAGCAAAACGAACTAAACTTAAAACAAAAGGAGAAATTTTAATCTGAGCATGCAAGAAGGGGCAGGAAAGGAGAAAGGGAAAGAGGAAAGAAAGAGAAAGAAGGGAAGGTGGGAAGAGAGCAAGGAAGGAAAGAAGGATTGATTGTGTGTGGCCCCAAACAATTTTTAGGAAGGGAGGGATGGAGGGAGAAAGAAAATATTCTAATACATTACTACTAGTATGTTTATTAAGAAGATACATTCAAATATTAAGAATTGAACACCCTTCCCTCCTTCCTTCCCTCCCTCCCCTTCCTTCCTTCCTTCCTTCCTTCCTTCCTTCCTTCCTTCCTTCCTCTTTCTTTCTTTCTTTCTTTCTTTCTTTCTTTCTTTCTTTCTTTCTTTCTTTCTTTCTTTCTTTCTTTCTTTCTTTCTTTCTTACATTGTTTTGCTCATTTCCAATAATCTAAATCAGTGGTTCCCAACCTTTTTTTCGCCCCGCACCCCTAAAGAAATTTCAGTCGAACCTCGCACCCCCTGAAATTTAGACTTTAGGAACTACTGAACGCGTTAAATATATGGTAGGATTGAATCTTTTCAGCTATGTATGTGACGGCCACTAAATAACGATACTTAACTCTAAAATGAAAACAAAGTTAATCCATTGCATAATAAATAAAAATGCCAAAATATAGCCAATATCCTATTATTTAC